TCTTTCCCCTTTCGTCTAAACGATGGGCCTTATTTCATAATATAATAATTGGTTCAGAAACTTTAGAGCATAGCTAGGCCTTTGCCCAAAAAAAAAAGAAAAAAAAAAGAAAAAAAAAGAAAAAAAAAAAGAAAAAGAAAGAAAGAGAATTTAGAGTTGTGGGCCTTCAACTTGCCTGAACTCAATTCTGAGCCTTTTTTCAGGTATACCTAGGACCTACCTGAAGTATACCATTTAAAATTTATTTCAGTTGATTAAAAAAAAAAAAAAAAAAAAAAAGGATAACAGTTGATTTCTCCCCCTCCTGCCGCACCACCCCGCCCATCCCCACCCCCCACTATTCAGTTGAATGTGTGTTGGTTATTAAATTATTAATATTATTATGGTTAGTATTTAAGTGCCCAAGAATTTAGGTATAATTTTTATATATATATCGTATATAAATATATATATCGTCAAATAGATATATATATGTGACGATATATATGTGACGATATATATATATATTTACTGATTCAGTTTTCCAAGTTTTCCTGCCAAAGGGATTTAATCATTTAAGTTATAGAATTTAGTTTTTCCTGCCAAAAGGATTTAAAACATTTAAGTTATTTAAGTTATAGAATTTAGTTTTGCTGCCAATGGATAGAGCTATAAATAAATAAAATGTTGCTTCCCCCCACCAAACAGAGAGTGGAGGGTTTTTTCTTTTCTCCCTTTTTCTAATGAGACCGCCCGTCTCGGAGTTATAAATTTCGTATTCTCACGAAAGAGATTGAGTAATAAATTTGATTTTCCCATCAAAAAGATTGAGTAATAAATTTAGTTGTCCCAGGAAACTTTAAGGATTCAGGCTACCAGGGGGGGGGGGTCAGGTCCTACTTGGCCGGATCATTCTTCATTTCTGGCTGTCGATCTTCATAATCTACTGTCACAAAATGCAAAGTAAAGAACGTGGGACTTGTCCCTAGGCTATCCCAGTTGACAGAGTTCAGTCTCAGATGTTTCAGAAGTTTCAGAGAAGTTCAGAGAAGTTTCAGAGAAGTTTCAGAGAAGTTTCAGACCAGAGAAGTTAGAGAATAACAACAACTGACTTTTGTCCTTTTTTTCTCACTAACAACAACTTCATAGTCTTCTTGTTCATCAGAGAACCTCTCTCTCTCTCTCTCTCTCTCCTCTCATGTGACATGTCTCTCTTCGGTGTGCTCCGCATCTACGAAAGTAATTGTCTGCTTCCCATTCCAAGGCCTGCAATCACAATAGCTGAAACCTGTTTTGCGAACCGCAGATCTTCGTCCCTTATTAGGAAAGTTTCCAGTTGTTTGGCTAGGTTTGCTGGACATCTATTGCCATTCGATCGCGACAGACATGGTGTGTTTCGCCAGTCACATTAGTTTCCTATTTTGCTGACTGTGTTTTTCATGATATCCAAATTGTATTATAGAACAACTAACGCCACAACCAGTTTAGCTCGCTCATTTCTGTGCAAGGGTGGTCAGCTGCAGCAACCGGGGGCGGAGCG